CTTTCACAAAGTGGCGTTCGACACAGTTGATCATAGTATTTTAATTAATAAATTAGAGAACTACGGTATCAAAAATATTAACATAGCTTGGTTTAAAAGCTACTTATCTAATAGAAAACAGTATATTTCATTCGGCAATAAAAAAACTAACAATATGACAATTACTTGCGGCGTTCCTCAAGGATCTATATTAGGACCACTCTTATTTTTAATTTATATTAATGATTTAAGCAAAGCCTCTAATATTCTAGATTCTATCTTATTTGCTGATGACACAAAATTTATTTTATTCTCATAGTGATATAACAGCATTATTGAAAACGGTCAACATTGAACTCCTAAAACTAACCGAATGGTTAAATATGAACAAACTTTCAATTAATTTAACTAAAACTAAATATACTCTTTTTCATCGCCTCCATAAAAAAGAAAAAATTCCTCTTGAACTTCCAAAACTTATTATTGGAGATTACATCGTAAAAAGAGAATGTTCGATGAAATTTTTAGGTGTAATTCTAGATGAAAACATAAATTGGAAAGACCACATAAACATGATTGAAAATAAAATTTCTAAAAATATTGGATTACTCTATAAAGCAAAACCATTCTTAGATCAATCCTGCTTGAAATACATATATTACTCATTTATACATTCTTATCTTAATTATGCAAACATTGCTTGGTGTAGCACCAATAAAACAAAGATAAAAAAGCTATTTAGCAAACAAAAACATGCAATTAGATTATTATCAAATGCACACCGCCTCTCACATTCAAGACCATTTTTTAACAATCTAAAAATACTAAATGTGTACCAAATAAATATATATCATCTTCTGATTTTTATGTATAAAATTAATAACAATTCAATACCAAATATCTTCAAACCATTATTTAATAAAATTCAACACAAATACGTAACTAAATATTCTAACAACAACTTTGTTCAACCCAAAACTATATACGACTCCACCAAGTTTTCAATAACTGTTAGAGGACCTAATGCATGGAATAAGATAATCAGTAATGATATTAAAACACTTAAAACTCTTGATCAGTTTAAACAAAAACTAAAACTATTACTTTTAAATAATGAACAAACAGATAATTATTTTTAAATCTATCTATAAAAATATTATATTTTAAAACTATCTACTAATGCATACTTTATTTGTCTGGAAGGTCTAAATTCTTTAATTTTATATAGGTATTACAGTCTGTTATATTATAAAAAAAGTACTTATAAAGATTTTTAGCATTTTTAGATTTCATTAGTTTAAATAAATTTATTAGTTTTCTTAAATAAGAGAGAGAGAGGAAAAATAAAAAAAGTAATCTTTTTTGAGTTTTAATTTTTTATATTAATATTTTGTAATTTGTTTTTGAGGAATTAATATATTACACTTTATAAGAACAGATTGTAAATTAAATTTTACGTTTACTTTTTTCATGTTTTTTAGTTTTTTGATATTTTTGTTTTTCTGAATGAACTTTTAAACTTTTCTTTCAAAAAATAAAATCGAAAAAATATCTTTCAAAACTTTGAACTATTAAACTATTTTGCATTTTATATAAACTTCTTTGTAATATTTTGCTTTTTTCTTAATTTTTTAATTTTCAGTTTAGTTACCATGTATTTATATAAATGTCTAGACAAACAAGGGACTTGGTGATAAGACAACCCCGTCTTCTTCTCGTCCTTGCCATTTTTAAATATTTTAAATTACGGAACTTGTAAATATTTGTACGGCTAAATTATAAAAAAAAAAAAAATATATATATATTTGCGTCTTTATTAAAGTTAATATGTTTCCAATGCAGAAGTGATAATTGATATTGGAAGGATTTTATATTGCTTTCATTGAAGACACGTTTTTTTATTATATTTTGTCTTTCGGGGTTATTAGAGGATACAGTATGGATTGTTAGAAAAATGGGGAAATGATCGGATATGTCGGTTTTTATAATTCCTTTTTTTAATTTTCTATTATAAATATCTGTTGTAAAAATATTATCAATCAACGTAGTTGAAGTTTTGGTTATTCTAGTAGGGCGATTAATTAAAGGAACAGCTCCTGCCATTAGTATTTCATCATAAAAACTTTTTATTTTTTTATCTTTATTATAAATTAAACAGTTCATGTTGAAATCTTCTATAAAAGTAATTTTGTTTTCTTTGCTACCTTTGTGAATGATATTTTGCTGTAAAAAGAAACTAAGATTTTCAGACGCACCATCAGGTGGTCTATAACAGCAGCTTAATAGAATATTACTTTTTTTATTGTTTAAAATTTCAATAGTTACGATTTCTTTATCACCGTCAGAAACGCACATATCATTCCTAATGTTATGCGCAATGTGTTCATTCTGAAAATGCAGTAGATCATAGCAATACAAGAGGTTTAATTTGATACAAAGTTTTCCCCATAAAACCTAAAATGCCGATCTAGTACAACTTTTAGGGTAATGAAGCAAAATAATTTTAATTGAACATTTACAAAATAAGAAACAATTATTATTTAATATATATATATATATATGTATATATATATATATATATATATATATATATATATATATATATATATATATATATATATATATATATATATATATATATATATATATATATATATATATATATATATATATATATATATATATATATATATATATATATATATATATATATATATATATATATATATATATATATATAAGGGTGGATTGATTTTAAAAATTTTTAAAACTTGATTTGCCTGAGCTGCGAATCAATGTCTTTTGGTGAAAAAAATAACTTTTTTTTTATATATATAAATGACTTTTAGAGGGTCCTCTTTCGATTCTAAATTTGTGACGGATCCTAATGTTATTGAAGTTTTTTTTCTTCTAAACTATATTAACCTGGTACTCAAAAAAAGCAGAATAATACGCTTAATTTGAATATAACATTTTTTTTATTTTAAAACTAAAAAAAAAATCATGTTGTTTTTTTTATTAAAAAACCCTTTCTCAAAAGGGGGTTTTGAAGTATAGTTTTGCAAATATTTTTTTTACTAAAAATTTATTTAACAAAATTATTATTGATAAAACAACATTTTTTTCTGCTTTTTTTGAGTCCAAGGTTGATAGAGTTTAGAAAAAAAAAAATTCAAAAATATTTGGATCCGTCAAGGATTTTGAATCATAAGCGGAACCTCAAGATCTCATCAAAATCAAAAATTATCTTTTTACTTTTATCTTGTAATTAATAGACATCGATTCGTGTCTCAGGAATATTGATTTTTAAACTTTTTTTTTTTTGCTATGTAAATCGATCCACCCTAATATATACAGTACTGTGAATATGTTTTAGACCACTTAGTTGTATTTTCAAATTTTTTCCTGTGTATTTTTTTTTTTTTTTAAGCATACTTAAGTTGAGTAATATTTGAAAAAGGTTGAAAGAATATATTATCTTGAATAAATAAACAAAAATTTATGACGAACATGAGGGATATGTTTGTTTATTTATTAAAACGATAACTGTCATAATAACTGCAGACCAAGTGCTCATCTAAATAATACATAAAAATAATATTTTTGATTTTATTCTCACTGGTTCAGGTTCATATTCGTTCATTTAAGTTTTTAACAGTATAAAATGTAGTCATAGAGTGAATATAATACAATAATGATCGGTTTTGGTACATTTTTTAAAAAGTTATTATTTTTTATGAATACAGTTAAATAAATAGTTAAAAATAATTAAATAAAGTTATTAGTTTACATTTTTAGATTAATTAAGTGTTGCTATGGGTAAAATATCTTTAATAGAGAGACAGAAAGTTATTGTGCTTCACGAAGAAGGTTATTTGCAGCGCCAAATTTCGTCCAAAACAGGATATTCGAAGACTGCTATTAGAGAAATTATTACAAAGTTTAGAGAAACTGGCTCCCTTGGAAATAGAAAGAAAAGTGGCAGACCTCCTTAGCTAACAAAAGATGACGATAAATATTTAAAAACCCTTTCTTTAAGAAACAGGAAAAAAACATCCACTGAATCGGCAAAGGACATTAATACAGCAATTGGAAAAAATGTTAGCTCTTCTTGTATTCGACGACACCTACTCAAATCAGGAACACGAGGCTGCGTTGCTATTCGAAAACCTTTATTACGGCGTGGCAATAGAGAAAAACGACATAAATATGCAAAACAACACAAAGACTGGACCCAGGAAATGTTTAATCGGGTTCTGTACACTGATGAGTCCAAATTTGAAATTTTTGGAACGAAAAGACGTCAAAATGTTCGAAGAAGAATAGGAGAAGCCTATCAGCCCGAGTGTTTAAACCCCACTATTAAACACGGAGGAGGCTTTTTACAAGTTTGGGGCTGTTTATCTTCATCTGGGGTAGGTGATCTGATCAAAATAGAGGGACGACTCACCGGGGAACGTTATGTGGATATTCTAAGACAGCATGCTATACCATCCGGAATGAGACTAATGGGCCATAATTTTATTCTGCAGCAGGACAATGATCAAAAACATTGTTCCCGAGTGGAAAAAAATTATTGAAATGAAATGGCAGAAGAAAGAAAACCGGAAATGATGACCTGGCCTCCCCAGAGTCCAGATTTGAATATAATCGACCATATTTGGGATTACTTGGACAGGAAACAGGTCGAACATGCTCCCCGAAATGCTGAAGAATGTTTTAAAGTACTTACAAGAGAATGGCACAACATACCACAGGATTTTATAAAAAATTTGTATGAATCTATTTCCCGGCAAATATCGGCTGTGACTAAGGCAAAAGGAAGACATAGTAAATATTAAGGGTTTTTTTATGAAGTGTGACATTAAAAAATTTGTTATTTGTTTGTATGTATGTATGTATGTATGTATGTAAGTGTGTATGTATGTATGTGTGTATGTATGCATGTATGTTTTTATGTATATTTTTATGTAAATATGCAACTTATGTTTGAATGTACATTGTACAAAAAGCAAAATTACATTGGCTCAGAACAATTTTCTGGACGATCCATCCTGTATCCAGTCTTTAAGAGTATCAAAAGTTCTTTATTGGTAATAGTAGGATATGGTGTTCCTCCTGTAAATACATTATAGATAGTGTAAGACTTATATTTTTTTATACACTTTAATATGTATGTATATATATATAAATATATATATATATATATATATATATATATATATATATATATAAATATATATATATATATATATATATATATATAAATTATGTTATTGTAATCTGCAAATCAAATACTCAATGTTCTTAAAGTACAAAGCAGTACTAAATAGTGAAAACACTTTAGTAATTTTTTATTTTTTTCTACAGCTTATTTCTCAATCAGTAGGATCACCAGAAAGATCATCTTCCAAATGATCCTACTGGTCTAAGAAACAAGAAGAAAATAAAAAAGAAATGGTTTTAAATGTTTTTACTATATGTGTGTATATATATATATATATATATATATATATATATATATATATATATATATATATATATATATATATATATATATATATATATATATATATATATATATATATATATATATATATATAAATATATATATATATAAATATATATATATATATATTTATATAAATATATATATATATATATATATATATATATATATATATATATATATATATATATATATATATATATATATATATATGTATATATATATATATATATATATATATATATATACATACATATATATATATATATATATATATATATATATATATATATATATATATATATATATATATATATATATACATATAAAAACATATATATATATATATATATATATATATATATATATATATATATATATATATATATATATATATATATATATATATATATATATATATATATATATATATATATATATATATATGTTTTTATATGTATATATATATATATATATATATATATATACATATATATATATATATATATATATATATATATATATATATATATATATATATATATATATATATATATATATATATATATATATATATATATATATATATATATTATATTAATTTATTTATTATACAATTTTAAGCATAACTTTGTTTACATAATTATCATAAATTGTTTCAACAGATTTTGCTACGTACCTAATGTAACAATTTCAAATAAAACAATACCATATGACCATCTAAAAAAACTTTTTATTACTAAAAAAGGCTTTTTTATTATTATTAAAATTTATTTAAAAGAAAATAATTATTATCTATAAGCATTAAAACTATTCATTTATTTAAAATTGAAATCTTATTTTATTAAAGAGAGTAATTTTAATGAAACCAAAAGTATATTTAAAAATTTACACATCACTAGATGATGTAAAAGTGCGATCAAATAACGCTTCAACTGACATCCACTTGACTGGTAAACGACGCGATTTACCTCCCATGTACAAATCATCATTTACTCTCCGTGTCAAACCAAAGTCAGATATTTTTAGATTTTTATCACCACCCACTAATATATTTCGGGCTGCAAGGTCTCGATGAACAAGCTTTAAACATGCAAGGTATTCCTGAAAAAGAATGGCGTAATAAACTTAAAATAATATAAAAATTATATATATATTTTTACCAAAAGTTTTTTTAAAAAATATTTTCACCATTCCAGATGCCACTTGCCATGCAAAACGAAGCAAATCATTAGGCGTTAAAGTACCCATTTCCACAAGAGGAATCTCATTTGGTAAGTTTCTTATTGTCTTTAAATGAAAATTTTACATATATAAAAAAATAGAATTAGTAAAAAAGAATATATAGTATATATAGTATAAATCGATATTATACTCTATATAAACGAATATATAATAATTTATTTAAAGAAATTGAAAGTAATAACCTCAATAACTTTTTGATAATCCGAAGTGTAAACAAAGTTTCCAGCCGGATCTAAATCTTGCTTTGGCATGCACAACTAAAAGTTTTTTTAATATAGTTAAGAAATAGTCTTTGAGTTAAGTATACGTTTTTACATAATAAATATACATTTTTGCATAGTAAATATATGCTTTTACATAAAAAATGTATGTTTTAACATAATAAATATAGGTTTTTACATGATAAATATGTTTTTACATAAGAAATATATGTTTTTACGTAATAAATATATGCTTTTACATAATATATTGATATATGTTTTTACATAATAAATATACGTTTTTGAATATTAAATAAATGCTTTTACATAAAAAAAAGTTATGTTTTTACATAATAAATTTATGTTTTTACATGATTAATTTGTTTTTACATAAAAATATATGTTTTAAGGTAATAAATATATGTTTTTACATAATGAATATATGCTTTTACATAATAAATAATTGTTTTTACAAGATTAATATGTTTTTACATAAAAAATATATGTTTTTACTTAATAAGTATTTGTTTTTACATAATAAATATATGCCTTTTCATAATAAATATATGTTTTTAAATATTGAACATATGTTTCACATAATGACATATTTTTTAGTTCATATGTTCTTACATAATGATATATTTTATTAAACATATTATTTTACATAATGACATATAAATTAAATATTAAACATATGTTTTTACATAATGAATGTATGTTTTTATATAATAAATATATGCTTTCACATAATACATAAATAACATAGGTTTTTACATAATGAATGTATGTTTTTATATAATAAATATATGTTTTTACATAATGACATAAATAACATATGTTTTTACATAATGAATGTGTGTTTTTAGATAATAAAAATATGTTTTTACATAATAAATATATGTGGTTACATAATCAATATACACTTTTACAAAAAAATATATGCTTTTACATAATAAATTTATGATTTTTCATAATAAATATATGTTTTTACTTTATAAATATATGATTTTACATATTAAAAATATAATTTTACATAATAAAAATATGTTTTTACATTAAAAAATATATGTTTTTTACATAATAAATATTTTTATAATATTAATTCAAAGTATAAGAAAAGTTTTAAGCAAATAAGATAGAAAAACCAAAAGAAAAAGATGAAAAGAAAATCTATAAAATATAAATTTAATTGCAAAATATTCCAAAGGTTAAACTTCCAAGACAACAATAATTTGTTAATGGAAAGAAAAAAGGTTTTCTTTTAGTTTATGTAGACCTAATTTTAGTTTAGTTTACTTAACTTTATTAATTAAAATGTTAATTTAATAAAATCTTATCACCTTATTTTTGTTAGTAAAAACAGCACACTAAAAAAAACTAAAACAAATAGTTTTACTTTGGTACGCTTATTTCGCAAGAAATGCAACAAATCTCCCTCCTGCATAAACTCAACAATTAAAGATAAAGACTTTCTGATTGTGGAACATCCAATTATATTGATAATATTCTTATGATATCCAATTTCTTTCATCAGTTTTATTTCTTCAATAAAGTCATTCAACTCTAATTGATTTGCACTATCTATGTTAAAAAGAAGTTCAAAATGTATAGCAACAAAATAATAAAGTTTCAACAATCAAAATTCACTCACTGCTTTAATAAATAAAAATCGATATGTATTTAAGTTTAAAAATATGAAGCTTGTAAAATGTAATTAAAATTATTTATGTATGTATAGATGTATGCATATATATATATATATATATATATATATATATACATATATATATATATATATATATATATATATATATAGGCAATTCCGCAACTGTGACATTCGTGATATTTGACACTCTATAAACTAATAAAATAGAGACAATAATGAAAAATTGAAAAAAAACAATACATAAAATTGACAATAATGAAAAGTTGACTTAAAGTTATCTAGAAATGTGATCATTTTATTTAGTATGCAAAAGCTACAACATTAGTGTCGTGAACTTATTTCAAAAATTGACGCAGCGTAACAATTACTTTTTACCACTTCTGAATAAAACAATTTTGTCAACTTTGTAGCAATTGACATGTTAAAAGAAAATAAATTGTTGTGTGTATTTTAGCATTTATTGATATTATTATATGCTATACTTTTTAATTTTTACTTGAAGTTATATAATAGCCTTTGTTTTTTTTTTACATTGACGCTTGTAACAAAATGTCTTATATTATAAAACTTCAAATAAAACAACGCATTCAATAAACTAAAAAAAAGATAAATAATTTTAAAAACAACATAAATTATGTTAAAGATTAAACTTTATTACATTATCAAAATTCTCAATTTTGGTTTTCGAAACTACGTTGGTTTAATTCGAAATAGGCAACGAAAGGCTAGCCGCTTTATTTATTTATAATTTAAAACTTTACTAAATATTTAATAGCTTTTGTCCTAAATGCTCTTTTTTACTAGCATAGGTTAACGAAAAATTTCTACACAATTGTTTTATGATTGTTTTTTTTTCTTTGTGTTAATAACTTTCTCCTTTGATAACTTCTCTTTTTTTCTCTTTCTATCTATATTTTTCTGTTTCTTGCACTAGAAAGAGAAAAGAATATTGACGGAAAGACGAAATTATTAATAAATAACAATTTCTTCAAATCAATTACTTTAAATAAATGAATTATATTAAATAATAAATAAAGAACATATACTTTAATAAGGTTAACAATATAATGAGTGAATAAACTGCAAATTAAACAAAAGACAAAATCGGTTGTTAACAAAATTAACAAAATTGTTCAGTTTTAATAAAAAAATTGCTTGCGCTTAAACTTTTTTTTAAAAATAAACATATCACAATGATCGCGACGTTAAAAAAATAAAAAACTATGATAAAACTTATATAAGTCTCTTAACTTATGCTAAAAGTATAGTTTTTTTAAAGTCTGATAAAAAGTCTAGAAGAAACTTTTTGACTCTTTTTTGTGATAGTTATAACACATCAAAAGGAAAAAATTTTTTTTTTCTCAAAACCCAGTTGAAATACAAGTTTTTATTTCAAATTTTGACATATTGCTAAACTACACTTTTCAGTCAAATTTTGAAGTACTATTTGTCTAAAAACTTAGAAGTACTAGTTTTCTAAAAACTTAGAAGTATTAGTTATCTAAAAACACAGTACTGAAACCTTTTTCAATGCATCACAACATGAAAATATATTGTTAGCTACAGTTTGTTTTTTCACAAAAACTACTATTAAATATGGCTTTTAAATAAATAAGCTTGCTTCTACTCCTACATTCTTTGAGATTTTAATGTCGATTATAGTTTTCCATATTTTTAAGTTTTAAAAATTGATGAGCTAGAATATGCAAAAACAAGTAAATTGTACTTTATTACATATTTGTGGCGAAATTTTTATTTGCGTAACAACATGTGCATAGTAAATTATACTATTCTCAACAATATAGTGTTTTTATGATTCTGACTCATAATTTTACATTAATTAGTAGTTTTAATTAAAAAAATTTGAACTTTGTTTCCTTAATTTAGGTAAAGCTAAAGATATATTAAATGAAGAAATTTTAGTAATATCTACTTTGTTAAAACATTTAAACCGCTCTGAAAGAAAAACTGAAAATTTAGTAAGAGTTTCTGTGACAGCAAGCAGAACTTAACATAAACTTGATTTAAAAAAAACTGTATATAAATACAACTTTTAAGTCAAATACAATTATTACCATTTTTTTTTTACAGGTTCTGTATATAAAAAATTTTGCCACAAATAAAAAATATATAATAAATATGCCACACATATAAAAAATATGCAACACATATAAAAAAAATGCCACAAAAAAATTCTATTCAATTTAACTGTGGTTATCATAGTTCAATTTAAAAGATTTAAAATAAAAGGTGTAAGGTAATATATAAAATTAAACAACGTAGGAAAAAAAAGTAGATAACTAGAGAAATATGTTTCATATTAATCATAAACTTTATATACCAAAACTGTAAAATAAAGTTATTAATTATTTAAAAAGTTTGTAAATATATATATATATTATATATATATATATATATATATATATATATATACATATATAAATATATATATATATATATATATATATATATATATATATATATATATATATATATATATATATATATATATATATATATATATATATATATATATATACAAATATATATATATATATATATATATATATATATATATATATATATATATATATATATATATATATATATATATATATATATATATATATATATATATATATATATATATATAAATTCGTCGACTCATTCGAAATCTGATTTCTGATTTCTGATCTGATTTCTGATTTCGGATTTCTGATGAATTATTTTTGATGAAACATAGTGTTAAATGAGAAAAAATTTTACTAAGTGATTTTCTACTAATTTGTAATTGCTCTGTTCTTTTAAGAACATTGAGCACTCTTTTTGTTGAATACATTTTAAATTGTTTATATATATATATATATATATATATATATATATATATATATATATATATATATATATATATATATAATATACATATATATATATATATATATATATATATATATATATATATATATATATATATATATATATATATATATATATATATATATATATATATGTATATATACATATATATATATATATATATATATTATATATATATATATATATATATATATATATATAAATAAAGTGTAATTAAATAGAAAAATACAACTTTATAATGGAACTAAAATTTCATGCCTATCGGCAATCTTCAGCCATATATATTATACAAATCAAGAAAAAACCGTTAAAAAATACAAAATACAAAAAAAGCAGTAGAATGAGTTCCGACGTCAAAACAAAACGAATAAAAAACCGAATAAAAAAGAAGCATAGTTGTAAAACTGCTAATCACCAGTGTCAAATTGGGCAAGAAGAAATTTGTTTTTATGCCGGCACTTAGATAATATTTCACTCTTTTTATTTAACAAATTTGGGTGTTTAAAAAATAAAATTTCGTACTTTTCGTTTAAGCATAAGTTACATCGTTTTGTTACAGGGTTATAGGCATCGCACTGTTTAATTATTTTCCACCTAACAACCGGGTTTAAGTTTTCATCTTTTAATCTCCAAACCTCCTTTGATAATTCAGTGTCATTTTTGTATTTGGGAATTTTAAAAGATTTAATGTGGTTAGCATATCTAATTTTAAAAGATGTTTCGCTTATGCCAATGTAAAATTTATTGATGGGAGATTGAACAAGATTGTTTGAGCATACATTAGCTTGATATACTATATTTTTTGTTAAGCATTGGTTTGATAAAGGGCAGGTGTTTTTATCTATGCAATTGCAATTATTTTCAGCTGATTCTTTCTTGTTGTTTATGACATGGTGATTGTGGGCGTTTAAAACGGATTTCATATTAGGCATACAGCTATAACTTACTTTTAATGTGTTTCTGTTAAAAATTTTGTGCAACTTGTGATTTTTAGGGAAGTGCTTATCAATTAATGTTAAAAATATTTTTCCTATATTCGTGCTGACGTTTTTGCTAAAAGACGGGTTGAACCAAATGATGTTACGTTTACGGTTCTTAGTGTGAGATAATCTTAAGTTAGGTTGGTAAGAAAGATTGTAATTAAAACCGGACTTTTTTAATGCTTCATTATACATTGGAGTGGATTTTTGAAAGATTTCCTCGCTTGACGAATTTGCTGATAATCTTAATTCAATAGAATGTGGGAGTTGCTTTAAAATACTGGATGGGTGGTTTGATTCAGCATGAATGTAATTTAAAGAGTTTCCGGGTTTAGAGTAAGGTTGGTAGGTGTGGTTGTTGAGGTTTAATGTAATGTCCAGATAATTTACGATTTTTATGTTGCACTGTGTTGATATCAGAAGATCGTTCGATTTAAATATTTTAACAACATGTTTTTTAATTTTTTCCATATGGGGACCACTGATGTTTTTAAAAATCGCCAAACCATCATCACGGTATAACCCGAAATCATTCTTATTGTAAAACTGTGTAATCTGAAATAAAAGAAAAATCCCCACAAGTTCACACACTTCGGCGCCATCAAATGCTCCCATCGAAACATCGAATAATCCGCTTGACTTCTTAATCCAAACTTGATTGTTATCAAACAACAGTGACTTTCTGGCGTGGCAAACAATCCACTTTTGCTCAGGATCTATAATCATACGCTGCTCAGCAAAACTAATAGCATTTTTAAGTAGTTTTTCACTTATTGAGGGATAAAAATCAACGATATCAAAAATGAGAAACTTATAAAGGTTTGGATCACTGATCGACTTGAACCAGCATATTACATCTTGTGTTTTTTTCCGATGATTGAGATGGAGTCTTTTTGCAAGTTCAGAATTTATGTTTGAAAGAATAATCGAATAGAGAAATAATGAAAGAATAATGAAAGAAATCGATATCAACACATCATCTAACTGCTTTATAACATTAAAAGACCACAAAGAAAATTTTGCAAACAATCCAACAGTTCGATTAACAAACCCTGCCA